GTAAAGTCTGCAGTGAGCACCTGCTCGGCACGGGCCTGAGCCCCGCCATACCACGAGGTGGCCGTCAAGCCACACCTGAAGTCCGCTTGATCTTCTCTGCACGGGAGTTAATCCCCGCCACCCGATTGCTCGGGGAGCCACGGACTCAAGCTGGGGCGAGAATTTGCTCTTCGCAGGAAAGGAGAGACCAGTCCCAAGCTGTACCCGAGGTTTCTGGGGTTCTTGTCTCGCTCGCAGAAAAGAATTTCAGGAGTATCAGGAGTAGACGAGCAGTGAAGTAACAGGTTTTATTTGGAGGCTTTTGGAGAGGGAGAGAAAGGGATAAGCAGAGAGAGAGAGAGAGAGAGAGAGAGAGAGAGAGAGAGAGAGTAACACGTCCAGAGGGAACGCGGGCTTCTCCGAGGGTGGAGAGAGCGCCAAGTGGGCTCTCGAGCTGGTTCTTATAGATCCTTCTGACTCAGAATATTCTGGAATCTCCTTGGGGCTGAGTTGCTGGAGTCAACCGGATTGAAAGGGGGTTCGAGAATCATCTGACTTGGAATGTCCTGGAATCTCCTTGGGGCTGGGTCGCTGGAGTCAACCGGATTGAAAGGGGGGTTCTCAGAAAGGAGGAATTTCATGGGGAGGAGGCCCATATCTTCAGGGTCTGGGGATGGTCTTATCAAGTCCTTATTCTCTGTCTCCACAGGGTGGGTCGGTCCTAGAATTCTTCTTCTATGAGACTTTGTTTCATTGCAGAGAGCCTTTCCCTATCTACCTGCCTACATCATTAAGAATCGTGGTACCTTGGCTTGGCCCATCTCGATGCCAGGGTAGGACATAACTTACCAGCTTGCCCTGGTTCCATCCAGTCCCTCGTCGGGACCTTGCCCTTGGAGTGCTAGGAAGTGAGGGCAATTGAGGCTTAAGTTGAGAAGGCAGATGCCCAGGAGTGAATAATATTCAAGGCCAATTAAAGACCCTCCCGATGATCATCGATTTGCTCAAGCGGGCCCAGTAACGTCTCCATTGGAGACTTTGTTGTTACTGTGTCTGGCATATCGAATAAGTCACGGGGAGCTTGCCAGGCTCTGCTGTGTGGGCGAGATACTCTCAGTAGCTTGCCGGGCTCTCCGAGAGGGGCGGAGGAATCGAACTCGGGTTGGCCATGTTAGCTGCGTGCAAGGCAAATGCCCTACCGCTGTGCTATCGCTCTAGCCCATGAACATTAAATCCTAAGTTATAAAGCATAATATTAATTGTCTTCCTGTATCTATAAAAAAAGGACACTGCATTAAAGTAAACTATTCAAAAGACATAAGGAGAGGAGAAAGGCAATATTAACTTACAGTACAGCTTCATTTTCTAAGAAGGATGAGACCTTACAAATTGGTTGCGGAAGAGAGCACAAAGAAGTAGTTACATACAAACAAAGTAATGGGAATGACTCGAGATCTCTGTGATGCATGCAACCTGATAAACCGAAGATCCTTGTACTCCAACAACTCACCATTTTAATTTTATGTTAATCTGCAGGTTCCTCAGTTTCCTTAAGAGGCCAATAGATGAACTCTGCCCTGAATGGGGTGGTCACAGGATACAAGAATCAGAAAGCAGTATGTAGCGAAATATTTTTCAAAATTCCAAACAAAATGTCTATGGGACCTGGGAAGAAATCACTCAAGACTTATGGCAACTGTTCAGGCCTGATTAGTATTACCAAGTGCCCCTGTCCCTGTAAGAGTCCTCCACCAGCAGCTGTGCATTGCTTTAGCCACCCCTATCCACACCCCCATTCCAGAGCAGTTCTTTCTTTACTAAACTTAGATTACTCACTGCTGTCCTTGAGTCCATCCTGCTCCATCCTGAGGACACAGAGAGGGAGACAGGAAACTTCCCCACACTGAGACTCTGTGAGCACTGATATAGCCAGGGTGCTGTGGTTCCAGCTGAGAACATTCACCAATGAGACTTCAGTGACTCCCGTGCAGTCGCAGAAGCTGCTGCTTCTGCTGCTGCTACTACAGCATTGGGATCTGCAGAGTAAGACCGAGAAGTGTCCTGAGATACAGAACACACAGGGAAGCAGAGTTTCCGGTTATTATGAACCTTTTTATCTATAACTTATTTTCCACCTTATTTTAGACATGCTTAAAATAAATCACAATTTAACAAAGGGGGGGGGAACCTCATATAGACCAGGAAGGCTCCTAATTTCTAGGAGACTCCAGGGCAAATGTAGAGAGATCTGAAGTAAAAGTTAGGACATTGGTTCTTGGCAGCTTCCTGGGGCCATTAATCAGCTTTCTAAGTTTTTACTGTGTCACTTGGTTTGGGGTGTGATGGTTGGTTTGGTTGGTTAGTGTTTGGGCACACCTGGCAACACTCAGGAGTCATTCCTGGCTTTGTACTAAGGACTCACGTCCAGCAGTTCTGGGGATAGTAATAGATGCAGGGGTTCAAACTTCTGGTCAGCAGGTTGCAAGGCAAATGCCCTGCAAGCTGTACAATGGCTCCAGCCCTTTTACTTGGTTTTATTGACTGCTGGGGAGTAAAGGTGTTGCTCCTACCGTGTCCCCACCCAGTCAGAGAAGGTGAATGGAAACATGTGGTAAAATCTTTGAACCTCACAGAACTTTCACTTCTGATCTAAACCCCACAGCAATTTCACTTTGGAGTTTAATCCAGTGGACTTTCTTGTCCAGACCTCAGTAAATACACCCAACAGAGGAGACTGACCATAAAAATGTGAGTGTTTGGGGTAGAGCTTGAAATGCAACACCAATGTTTGCTCAGTGAGCCTAAGGATCATGTGTATTTGTTTTTGTTAATGAGAAAGAGAGAAAAAAAGAGAGAGAGACAGGCAGACATACAGAGACAGATACAGAGATAAAAATAGAACAACTAGGAGGCATGATGTTGTCTGGGTCCTTCTTGAGATTCCTGCATCTTGCACCTAGAAATCACAGCCTTGATAATATTCTGGGATGTCTCTAGATTTCATGAATATATTTTTAAATGAATCTGTTATATAACTTATCTGTCTCTAGTCTGTAATCTAGCATTTTAGAAAAGGTGCTCGTGGTGCTGTTGTTTAAATAAATATCTTTAAGACAAACTAAGGGTCTGTATATAATTGTCATTGCCAACCCTAAAATTATTAGAATAAGATCTTTTTCTCTAAGGCATATTGCATATGATTATTTGAATTTTCACTTTTCTAAAAACAGATGCTGTAGATATTTTAACATGTATGGGGAATTGTGTCTTTGTGAAGTATTTACAGAGGCTATTAACCATTTTTAAAAACTATTGAGTCTTATTTCTTTGAGAAGCATTTAAACAGGCAGTTTGCTCATATTTTAAACCTGTTTACTGAAGTAGTAAATTACATTTATGATTTGCATATGTCAAACATCATTATGGCTCGGCTATAGAACCAATTAGAAATAATGAATGACTTTCTTGACATGTGGTTAGAGGCTATACCAAGATTTTTTTGTTTTCTTCTTAACATAGTGTAATTTCACTATAAGGAAAGAGAAAGAAAGGGTAACATGTTCAAAAGAGATTGTGAGCTTCTCCAAATGAGCAAGAACCCTGCTGAATGTCTTTTGGAAGAGGTTATATGTGGATATTTTCCACAGTTCCTTGGCCTGAAGTTCTATGCCCACGTAAGAGTTGTTAGATATTTTCATAAGGGAAGAATTTTGAACTTCTGATGGTCTCATTAAATTGTCAGTGACTTTGTAATTTTTATTTTTTCTCTTTGAGACTTGGGCTTTATTTCTGACTCTACACTTAGGAATCATCCCTGACAGGGCAAATTTATTTCATCCATTTGTTCAAACATTGCTTGAGCCATTTGATTATAAGCTCTTCTTAGGTAGTCTTGCAACTGAAGGTGTATTTTCCCAGAATCTTCAAAAGTGCTAATCTAGGACCTGCTCTTCTCCTCTTCTCAGATCAGTTTTTCTTCCCTCAAATCAGAAAGGATGACAGAATGGATAGGTCAGTTAGCTATTAGATTACATTGTGTCTCTAGCGGGATCTCCCTGGCTTCATTGAACTGATATTGTTGTTCTTTGGAGGTAGGGGTAGATACAATACAGAGAAGGATTTTCATTATTCAAATATGAATCCACTGAATCTTCTTCATTAACAGCCCTAATTCCTAAGTGTTGCTTCTGTAGTTACAAGCAAGAAACAAGGTATTGGTGATTGTTAGGTCATTCAACAGTCACTGTCACTGTTCTCCTGTTGTTCATTGATTTGCTCGAGCAGGCCCAGTAACATCTCCATCGTGAGACTTTGTTGTTACTGTGTTTGGAATATCGAATACGTCATGGGTAGCTTGACAGGCTTTGCCGTGTGGGCGAGATACTCTTGGTAGCTTGTCAGTCTCTCTGAGAGGGGCAGAAGAATGAATTCCGGTCGTCCATGTTGTCTGCGTGCAATCAAACGCCTGGTTAGGTCACTAGTAAACTGTTTTAAAAGCTTCCAAATATCCTTTCTGTTCATCTGTAATTTGTGTGAGGAATAACTTCTAGCTTTTCTCTCTCAGAATTGAGCCTGAAATTATTTCTTTCTGAACTCCGAGTTACACCAGCACCTACAGCAACGAACAAATGAAATGTGTCTCATTACAATTAGATACTAAATTTAAATATATAAAATTTAATCTAAACACTTGGACTAGTACTACTGTATTCCAAATCCAATTCATCCTCTGCAGGTGTCAGTCCCTCAAACTCAGGTGATATGTATTCCATCATGGTCACAGTCATGGTACTCCCGTTGTTCATCAATCTGCTCAAGCAGTCCCAGTAACGTCTCCATTTTGAGACTTGTTGTTACTGTGTTTGGCATATTGAATACATCGCAGGGAGCTTGTCAGGCTCTGCCATGCAGGTGAGATACTCTCGGTAGCTTGCCAGGCTCTCTGAGAGGGGCGGAGGAATCGAACCCAGCCATCACTTATAGAAAAATCTCATCTGTATAATCTCTACCTTTATTTTCAGTATTAAGGATTTCCAGGAAAAACCATGGCCTCTGGCACAGTTAAGAACATGAGGGAGGAAGTCACCTGCCCCATCTGCCTGGAGATGATGACTGAGCCAGTGATGATAGACTGTGGGCACATCTATTGTCATTCCTGCATAATGAAAAAGCTTGAGAACCAGCAACAGCAGTCACTGTCAGCGGGAAACTTCCAGTGTCCTGTATGTAGGGCACAGTTTCAAAGGGAGATCATCCGGCCCATTAAGCATCTAGAAAACCTCATAGACATTATTAAGAAGATGGAGCTGGAAAATCTGTGTGAAGAACACGGAGAGAAGCTCAACCTGTTTTGTGAAGATGATGGTCAGTTCATCTGCTTGTTATGTGAGCGGAAAGCAAAGCACAAAGGGCACACCACGTTACTTGCTACAGAGGCCTGTCAAGTCTACAAGGTGAGTACTGCCCAGAGTACTGCAACAAGTACCCATTTCTCTTTTGAAATCACGGATCTGAATAATTTTTTTTTTTTTTTTTTTTTATTGAATCACCGTGGGAAAGGTTACAAAGCTTTCAGGTTTAGGTCTCAGTCATGCAAATATCAAACACATTTCCCTTTACCAATACTTTTTTTTTTTTTTACCATGAAGAACCCCAATAAAACCCCACCCCCCACCCCTCCCAGTCCCTGTGGGGCAGATGAATTCTAGTTAACACTCTATCTGCTTTGATTAGATTCATTGTTTCAACAAAAGATTCACCACTATTATTTAGTTTACCCTCCCCCCCCCCAAATCAGACAAGCTGAAAAAACGTTGTGACGTGATTTGCTTTCTACAGCTGGGTTCAAGAATTAAATGTTGGTTTTGGATTTCTGCTATTTTACTTATTGACCCTGGAAGTATTTCTACTGAAAGTCAGATAGTTAAGAAATTGGTTTCTGTGCTCTGGAGTCGTGGCCGTGCTGGAGAGCCGCTCGTGGGGGGCAACTGGTGACCTCGGTAGGGCGTGAGGGACGGACCGGAACGCCCCCCTTCCCATGAGGTTTTAGTCACCCCCACACCCCCGGCTCATACCTGATGTCCACAAGGCTCCCATGTGGCCGCCATCTTTCTTTCCAGAGAGGAGAGGGCGAATGGGGCAACACCCTTTCCCCTCCAGCAGATTTGATGGCCTGGATTAACGCATAGTCCGTTCACTTTTCTGCTCCAAGCTGTTGGGTTCTGCATTAAATCCTTGTGTTTCTGGGGCTGTGGCTGTGCTGGAGAGCCGCTTGTGGGGGGCAACTGGTGGCCTCGGTAGGGCGTGAAGGACGGACCGGAGCGTCCCCCTTCCCATGAGGTTTTAGTCGCCCCCATATCCCCGGCTCATACCTGCTGTCCACAAGGCTCCCATGTGGCCGCCACCTTTCTTTCCAGAGGGAGGAGGGCGGAAGGGACCAACACCCTTTCCCCTCCGGGCAGACATGATGGCCTGGATTAACGCATAGTCCTTTCACTTTTCTGCTCCAAGCTGCTGGGTTCTGCATTAAGTCCTTGTGCTTCTGGGGCTGTGGCCGTGCTGGAGAGCCACTCGTGGGGGGCAACTGGTGACCTCGGTAGGGCGTGAAGGACGGACCGGAACGCCCCCCTTCCCATGAGGTTTTAGTCGCCCCCGCTCCCCCGGCTCATGCCTGCTGTCCACAAGGCTCCCATGTGGCCGCCACCTTTCTTTCCAGAGAGGAGAGGGCGAATGGGGCAACACCCTTTCCCCTCCAGCAGATTTGATGGCCTGGATTAACGCATAGTCCGTTCACTTTTCTGCTCCAAGCTGCTGGGTTCTGCATTAAGTCCTTGTGCTTCTGGGGCTGTGGCCGTGCTGGAGAGCCGCTCGTGGGGGGCAACTGGTGACCTCGGTAGGGCGTGAAGGACGGACCGGAACGCCCCCCTTCCCATGAGGTTTTAGTCGCCCCCGCTCCCCCGGCTCATGCCTGCTGTCCACAAGGCTCCCATGTGGCCGCCATCTTTCTTTCCAGAGAGGAGAGGGCGAATGGGGCAACACCCTTTCCCCTCCAGCAGATTTGATGGCCTGGATTAACGCATAGTCCGTTCACTTTTCTGCTCCAAGCTGTTGGGTTCTGCATTAAATCCTTGTGTTTCTGGGGCTGTGGCTGTGCTGGAGAGCCGCTCGTGGGGGGCAACTGGTGGCCTCGGTAGGGCGTGAAGGACGGACCGGAGCGCCCCCCTTCCCATGAGGTTTTAGTCGCCCCCACACCCCCGGCTCATACCTGCTGTCCACAAGGCTCCCATGTGGCCGCCACCTTTCTTTCCAGAGGGAGGAGGGCGGAAGGGACCAACACCCTTTCCCCTCCGGGCAGACATGATGGCCTGGATTAACGCATAGTCCTTTCACTTTTCTGCTCCAAGCTGCTGGGTTCTGCATTAAGTCCTTGTGCTTCTGGGGCTGTGGCCGTGCTGGAGAGCCGCTCGTGGGGGGCAACTGGTGACCTCGGTAGGGCGTGAAGGACGGACCGGAACGCCCCCCTTCCCATGAGGTTTTAGTCGCCCCCGCTCCCCCGGCTCATGCCTGCTGTCCACAAGGCTCCCATGTGGCCGCCATCTTTCTTTCCAGAGAGGAGAGGGCGAATGGGGCAACACCCTTTCCCCTCCAGCAGATTTGATGGCCTGGATTAACGCATAGTCCGTTCACTTTTCTGCTCCAAGCTGCTGGGTTCTGCATTAAGTCCTTGTGCTTCTGGGGCTGTGGCCGTGCTCAAAGCTTAACTATGATTTTCAGAGAGAAACGTTAGGTGGTTTACTTCCCATGGATCACTTTGTATTTAGAGAGATGTCGCGCGGCCGCATAAGCGGTTTTGAGGAAAAGTCCTAGTTCCCGCATACTCGAGCTGTGCTTGTAGAGGTTTCTGGTCACCGGGGGTCCATCTGGGGGAGGCGGGATGCGGTACCTACCCCATCTCGGACTTCCCGATGATCTCAGCTCTTTTTGGAAGCTGTTTTTTTTTTTTTTCCTTCGGGATCTCTGGATCCCGCCCTCCATGTTCTTCTCTTCGGCTGAATGCTCTGAATAATTTATTTTCAAACCCACGATGTTGTTAAAGCTTTTACCATTTTAATCTTTATATAAAATTAACATCAGCTTCTATTTAATATACACATATATATTACTAGGCATATTAAAGCATATGCACAGAGTGCTGTCGTAATCCCCATGGAAATTGATAACCCTTGACAGCAATGAACAACTGATAATATACCTATATATTCAGACAAAGTAAAACACTGATTCATTGATTAAGAAGAAAATTGATTACCACTTTTAACATTAAAAAGTTGGTTAACCTAAAAGTGTTCTCCTCAAATGGAAGAAAGTATTTTGAAAAATATTTTAAAAGTTTGCTATTGGTACTACATAATTTAAAATTTCTTGCATGATGATTTTTTTCATTAGATATTATAGCTCTTCTCTGCTTCTTTATTTTTTACAGTAGTGTTTACCTAGCAGTGTCGTCCCATGATCCAGGGGCTACTCCATGTGATACGAGGCCAGAGGCCTGACTGCTCAGTGGTATGGCCCTAGAGTGCTGTGGGTCACTGGGTCCATACCTGATCATGTTCAGGAATATCAGAATCATATCTGTCGGTAATCAGAGAAAAAAAGGGCTCTGGAGATCAAACTGAGAATCCTCATCAAAGCATGTGGTCTGTCTCACTGACATTCATTTGACTCTTCCATTGGGGTAGGGATTTAGGGACCAAACCCAGAGATGCTCAGGGCTCACTCCTGACCTACTCTTATTTACACATAATAATATATTAAAAATGTCAAGGTGTAAGTAATCTGTTATTGGTTTTTAGATTTAATTCAATACTCCCTCTCGGAGAGCCAAGCAAGCTACCTAGAGTATCTCACCCACATGGCAAAAGCCGGGAAAGCTCCCCATGATGTATTCAATATACCAAAAACAGTAGCAACAAGTCTCAAATATGTTGTAAAATGTTACTAGTGCCCGCTTGAGCAAAATTGATGAACAACAGGAGGACAGCGCTACTATAGAAAATATTATCAAGCATTATTATATTCTTGTTCTTTTTACAGTGTTCACCAGGCAAATGCATCATTGTATACTTTAGGCCATGTATCATGAAGATTCTGTTTCTAAAATTGAAAATGATATTAACAACAGTATCAATTCATCAGGTTGTTCAGGAGGTCAAATTTTTCAAAATATTTTATCTATTGAAGAACCATGAGATACACAGTTATAAGGTAGTTCATGGTTGAGTTTGAGTCATATAACATTCCAACATTCAACCCTTCCACTGTTGTACATTTCCCACCACCCATGTCCAATGTCACTAGTCTCCTTCCCGCTGCCTTCCAACCATTCCACCCACAAGCCTGACCATGTTGCAGACAGTTCTTTCACAGGAGATCAAGGTTTTTCACTTCACACAAATCCCTCAGGATGTATCCTTGAAGGTATAAGGACTATCGAAGTTTCCAATATTGTTTAATTTTTAAAAGTCTGTGATCTTCCCTGACTTATATAATGAAAAATTGCCCAAGTTGTAAATCTTTATCGAATATTTTTTCCTTTAGGAAAACTTTCAGGAATGTTTGATACACCTAAGGAGACTAGAAGAACAAAATAAGGAATGGCTAGGGAAAATAAGAGAGCAAATAACAAATTTTCAGGTAAGTATTTAAGATTATTTGCTTCAGATATGTTCACCATAAAGCCTAGAGATATAAAAGGATTAAGCAAAACAAAAGGATGCTTTCATCTCATTAATCTAGACTAAATAGATTATTCCCAAATTATTTGTTTTAATGCTCCTCATTGGCTACACCTATTAGAATTGAGTTCCTCTTCCTTTGTTCTTTCAACTGAAATTGTTGAAGAGTCCTACTATCAGTAAAACTAAGAATTGGTGTCTTTACTTAGATTCATATTGAATTGTTTACAAGATTTAAACATCTCAAAGTAAATTCCTGTAGACTTACCACTCAGAAGTTTACCACAATGCAGGGTCTGGCATGTAATTTCCATGGTCAGAAAGTAATCATTTTGATGAACAGTGTCACTGCATGTAGGATTCATGTTCAAAAATTCAGGGGGATGAACAGAAAATGTGGCTAGAACATATACGATGGCATTTAAGGTCTATTGCTCTGCTTGATCAGACTGCTCAAAAGAGAAACTCAGTGCTCTTCTGGAAAAATTGACATACTCCAAAAGTCTATACTAAAATCTCACAGGTTATTTGCTTTTGAGGGTGTCTTTCCTAACCTATGTCATGAACTCTTTGGGTGAATTTTAAATTTGGACTCACAGAGTGTATTCCTTCTTGCTTCAATTTAACAGGCATGAGTAATGGGAGAATAAAATATCCAAGTAACATGCAGAGAAACCCACATCCCTGAGAGTTACGTTTTCATCTCCTATCAACAAGGAATGTTTGTTTATTTATTTATAGATAAACATTCCCCTGTAACTTATATATGCTTTCTTTGTTCTAGTCCAAAATTATGGAAAAAAAAAACCGCATCACATATGTTTTTGAGGTTTTTCAAATGATCCTAGAAATTGAAGAGAAATCTTATCTATGGAGACTGGAAAATGAAGAAGAGCAAGTTCTGCAGAGACTAAAAAACAGTGAAGCCAACCTGGAGGATCAAAGCCAGGAACTGAGCAAACACATCCAGGAACTGGAGAGGAAATGTCAGAGTTCAGCCCAGGAGTTACTGCAGGTGAGACTGTGCACGTGGAGGAATGCATGAAGGAGTCAGTCCCTGGGCTTTCAGAGGAAATGGTGAGGAATTTGGAGAACTGGCCAAATTCCTTCTTTCTCAAATATTCACACAAGTGTGGAGAAATTAAATGTTTACTTTTTAATACACATGCCTATATACAGGTGTCCTTCACTAGTCTGTAGAGTGTCTCTGAGTAATTCAAAAAGGAGGCCCCTTGGATAGATATGGCAGTTCTCAGATAACCACAGAACTTTTGTTGAATCTGTTAGCCTCAGTGTATTTTTTCAGAGATTTCTGGTGTCAAATGGTCTCTGCAAAGGTAAACCTGTTGACTCTGGAGGCTAAAAACCACTCACCAAAATGATTGAGAAACATTTCCCTTGACTTACTATCTGTAATTTGCTCAAACAGATATTATGAGGCCTGACGTTAGCTATAGTAAAGATCTTCTACACTGTGATAAAAGCCTGGAGCACCTTATTCTATCTTCATAAAAGGTGGAGGTAGAAGAGCAAGACCTTCCACCTCAGTGCAAACCTACTTTCAACAACTTAGTGAGTCATTCCAGGGCTCTATGTGAATTTTCCTGCAAGCACCTTTGTGAAAAACAATGTCCACTATGATCTCTTCAGAAGTCATTAGTCACTGAATGCTAAAAGTGCTAAATGAATAAGTTTGAGGCAATTCCTAATCTTATTGCAAACAGTTCACAGGTTTGTGGATATAGCAATAATAACGCTACATGCTGGAAAAGTAAGATAACATACTCTTTGGTTGATTAGATACTGTCATGGTATTATCCTTGGCCAGTGTTTCTCTCAAACTTTGTGCATGTACTGCTGAAGGTAAACAAGGGTAGAGAGGTTGAATATCAAAGGTCTATCGCAGTGCTTATAACTGCGACTCTGTGGAATAATTTATGCAGAAAGGTGTTGGACTGCAGGTATGCAAAGGTTGAAGAACATTGTGGTAAAAAATTGGGATCATAATCATTCCCTGGGAAATCATTAATACATAGGAACAGAGCAATTGCATTTACCCTTTCATATAATTATAAAGAAACATCCACCCATTAAAGTTCTATGAAAAGCTAATATTTTCATATCAACATCTACCTTTCTTGCTCTATAGGATGCAAAGGACACTGTGGACAGGTGAGTGGTCCTTGAAAACAGGAGGGAGGGATAGTAGCTATATGGAGTCTAATGGAATGTTGCTCTGATGAGATTTCTGGACTCTTCTTCTCTAGGATTTCTGCTATGCAGTTAAATGCACCAGAGGATGTCTCACTGGATACTCACAGTATACCTGATATTAGTAGCATTTTCTGTTCATTGTTAAAATTGTTTGAGACTGATAACGGTATGTGACATCCAAAATTCCCTAAATAGTAGAGGGGGGAGGAATATTGGGCAACTGCTCTTCCCTGTGCAGTTCTAGCCAGAGTACTGCTTTTCTTGATGATTCTATAGCTCTTTTTCTTCAGTTCACTAGTGATGTCCCCAAGGTAAATAACCTCTATATCTCTCCTATATAAAAACCAAAAGAATAACACTTCACACTCAGTGGAAGGAGACAAGGTTTAAAAATCATAAATTATGTTCAGTCTATAGTCTACTCTCATCACGTTTCTCCCATCTTGGAAGAACATGATTGCCACTCAATGTCTCTTTTGCAAACCACAGCACTCAAAAGAAGAGAGATAACAAATGGGAATGCCCTGACACAGAGGTAGGGTGGAATGGGGGATGGGGAGTGGAAGGGATACTGGGAATAGTGGTGGTGGAGAATGGGCACTGGTGGAGGGATGTGTATTCGATCATTGTATAGCTGAAACCCAAGCACAAAAATTTGTAAGTCTACAACTGTACCTCATGGTGTTTCACTAATAAAAATTAAAAAAAAATCATAAATTACTCAAGGCAGAGAGTAAAGGGTTTGGGACTTAATGATTACGTTTATGTCATTCAATTCCCAGAGTATGTACGGAAAGGTAGGTAAGACTGACTGTGCTGCCAGTGGTTTATGGTCAGACCAGGTAACACAATAAGTGTTTGAACCTTTTGAAAGCCAAGTGCTACCTAGTAGAAAACTAGCTGTTTGTTTCTTTATTCTTTCCAGAATCTCTTTATTTTAATAGTAAACTATAATTGCATTTTCTCATAAAAAATCTTAAAATAAAGATATTTTATTATTTTTAGGCTATAAAATAAGAACCACTCTGAAAATTTTTCATTTTTAATTTAATGAAAATCTATGTTACAAATAACGCATTTTCAGTCCTGAGAATAGTGTCCCAAGTCGAGTGTTTGCCTTTCATGCAGCCAACCAGGGAAGATCCCTGGCATTTGATATAGTCGTTGAGTTCTGCCATGATTGGTGACTAAGTACAGAGTTAGAAGTAAATCCTGAGCACAGCCAGGTGTGTTGTTAACTTGCCACACCCAAATTAGAAGAACACAATAACTCATAAATTTCAGTAAAATGACCATAGCTCATAGGAACCCTCTAACTGGAGTCTAACAGTGTTGCAATAATTATGATCGATGGGCTTTGTTTTCATCTAGAAACTAATATAATCTGTTCCATGCTCATTGTGATTGTTGTCAAAATTTGGGTCTGGTGTGTGTTGGACCTCGGGCACTAGCTCTTTGCTGGTTGCAGGCAGGATGCCTCCCTGTGCTTTCTGAAGAAAATTCTCAAATGCTTGTGCATGAGTCTCCCCACATGGTCAATTGTTTCTTCAAAGTGAGATCAAAAAGCAAGAGTCTCTAGGATGAATCTATGGCATTAACACAGTCATAATAGGCTACAATAATAGACATGAAAGCCATTATTTTTACTCTATAAGTTCAATGTAGATTGTACACGATTGGTCTCTGGTCCTGAAAGTAATTATACAAAGTTGCCAACAGAGGGGCCCTTATGAAAGTCTTTGTTATTTTGCCAGCCTCAGTGACCAAAACTAAATTCCTCCACCTGACAGTATTCAGTCTTTATTTATTACACTTAGTTTAGTATAGGAATGCTGATAAGATCAGCACTGACTTAGTATTGGATGTATCCCCATACTTAGAATTTAGATGCATTCCTTTGCATTTATGACAAGAAAACTGTTCTGAATTCTAAAACATGTTTTGCTCCACATGTTTCATACAAGAAAATGTAATGCTCCTATACTGTGAGAGCACTGTGCCATGACTGGGGTGATGATGCATGCAGTTGCTAGGTAGGTAAGGACAAAACTTCTTATTATTCAGATCTTCTCATCTTCAACCTGAGCTGTATGCATCCTTTTAAGTGTACCCAGAAATGTAATGGCTGTGTCATATACAAGCTTGATTCCTATTTTTTTGATATTTGTCCATTTTCTAACCAGTTTGGACCAATCAATGTTTCACCAATAGAGAATGATAACGACTGCCACTGCAACTCTTAGGTTCACACGTTCTCCCCAGGACTCTCATTTACTAAGGAAAATGAAATCAGGTAGAAGGAAGGAAGCAGGTTTCGTAGAAGTCCCACGTTCAGGAAGACAGGGTATTAAAAGTTTGAGAGTGGTTTTGAGGAAAAAAAATCAGGAGAAAGAAGTATTTCTGCAATCTTTATTTCTCATTTCCAACTGTTCACCTACTCGGTGTTTGATCAAGTCATATTAGGTGACTAAGTGACTTAACTCTCTAGCTAGAACAAACTCATATTTTATTTTTTAAATTGTGCTGTTAGCTAGGACCATTATGACCATTTCATTTCTTTGTTTCTTCACTCTACTCAGATTCTTTTTTGGTATATTTGTCCTTGCTACATCATCTTGTACTAAAATTTATGCTGCATGAGAAACTAAATAGAGTAGATACTTAAGGTCATGAGTAGCATGTGTTCTAAGGCCCCAATAACAACCTTTGTCTCCTATAACCAAGTACGTAATTAATTGTATTTTCCCAAATGAAACTGTATCAGTGTTATTTGGAAAAAAAAATTGGGAGGACTTTGGATAAGAGAATAAGTAAACCTGTCAAATATATTTATCTTGTCCTTCACTTATACTGCTGTGAGAAAGATGGCAATACTATTTAACATGAACAATAGAATGTTAGAGCTACCGTAGTGTATTGCTGCTGCTACCAGATATTGTACAATTCCACATAGTCACAGCCCTGCTCAGGTCTAAGCATGTATTAGCTCTTCAATCCTCCCAACCATTCTTTGTGACAGATAATGATTTTTTTTTTACTTTTTACAATGAAGTTTCATAAAATGATTATAAAAGTTGTCAAAAAAATTTTCTCTTGATGACAGGCTGATAATATGTGGAATAAACTGAGTACTAAGCATGAAGTAACCATGTTCTTTTGATTTCTTTTTTATATTTATTAATTTTTTTGCAGTTAAGCTTACTCTGGATCTAGATACAGCTCACAACGACCTAGATGTGGACAAAGATGAAAACACTGTGCTTGGTGGCAGGTCCGAAGTGAAGCAGGACACTCCTACTAGGTTTAAAGACTTACCCTGTGTCTTGGGTTGTGAGGCCTTCACCTCTGGAAAATATTACTTTGAAATATATTTTAAAAAAGGATCTAAGTGGGATGTCGGAATTTGTCTGGAAAATGTGCCAAGAGACAATGACATGCGACGGGATCCTGAGTCTGGATTCTGGGCCATCAGACATTGTAGAGATGATGGCTATGTAGCACTTACATCACCCCTAACCCCTCTTTTAGTGGAAGATGTTAATATTATAGGCGTTTTCCTGGACTATGAGGCTGGAATGATCTCCTTTTACAATTTGATTCCTGTCTCCCACATCTTCACTTTCCCAAAGGTCTCTTTCTCTGAGCCTATCAGACCTTATTTCTGTATTGGTGAAGATTCTTATTTCCACATTTATCATAGATATATGGAAGAAATTTTTAAATAAAAGATTTCTAGTTTATCTAAGGAAAAAAGAACAGTATCTTTATATCCTTGTATCAAGTTCAAAGAAATAGAATTCAAATTCTGTGAATGTAGAAATTTTGGTTGCTTTCTTCACTGTTTGCCATAACCTAGAATGATGCTAAGCTTTTGTAGATCCCTAATAGATTTGCATTAAATGATTGGCTATAAAGCAGGTACCACACATAAGGAACCTGCTTTAGAGAGAATATACTTGATAAAAATACCATAAAGTGTGCTGTGGACCTCTATTCAGTAGATTTAATTTTATTATAGAAATACTCTGCATACATAAATTCCATTAGTGATTTCATCTTAGGACATAAAAACCTTTCCTTTGAGCATGAAAACTCTGAAACAATCCCAATCTATTTCCCTTGCAGTGTCTTGTGAAAATATTGGGAGAGTAAAGTCAAGAGAAAAGCTGTTAATCCCACATACTAGGACAGATTTTTGTCCTATTAAAATGGAAAGTTATAAAGGAAATAGAAATGCAAGTTATTCACTCCAAACAGGAAAGATAAAGGTAACCTCAGGGGATCAGGGTTGCTCACAAGAGCACTGTAAGCTTCTCTGGGGGGAAGAAAGAAGGAAATTCATTGGTTAAGCTGAAAAAACTTAGAGGTAATATCCCACATGTAGAGAAAGAGGGTGAATTAATAAGGGGCAAAGATATAGATGCAGTTCTGCCTTGCTGTTTCCTCTTAGCAATACATCCTGCTATCTGTATTCATTTTTCCCGTGACCTGGTCTCATTAAGATTCCAATTCCTACTAAAAACTGCCCCTTCACTAAGGGAAGAAGTGGCAGAAAGAGCACTAAGAAGACAGAGAGACCTCTCCAGTTTTCTGGCCAAGGAATAACATATCCCAGGACTTATAGTTTACATTCTGTCTAAGCATGACCACTAGAGTCACCCTCCAGGAGGCATACTTGAAAGGAAGATTTTCATTGAGTTACCTTTGTTCTCCTGAAGATCTTGAGAAAGTTTCTTTGTTTTTCTCCTGAATGACACTCCAAATGATATTGAAAGGAGTAGGGAAATGGAAACCTAGAGAGAGACAGAGAGAGACAGAGAGAGATACATAGAAACACAGAGAGACAGAGAGAGACAGAGAAAGAGACAAAAGAGAAAGAGAAAGAGAAAAAAGAGATAAAGAGAAAGAAAGAGAAAGAGATGGAGAAAGAGATGGAGAAAGAGATGGAAAAAGAGAACATGCCTGCATCTGGAGCCACCTGTAACTCCCAAGGGAAGTGCCTGGAGAAAAGGCTTGGTAACATCTGCCACATGCACCTGTATGCTATGGCTGTTCTTATCCCACTAGTGCCAAACACAGGGCAGCGATCAATCTACGTATGAGGTCATTTGGTCTCTGGATAGTGCCCTCAGTCCCCACCATATGTGTTCTTCAACATCATGCCGTCAGATCTGTTGGAGGGATTTCTCTTTGAAGAAAAGGGGAAAAACTCTGGCCTTCATTTATGTTTCTGAGTCTGTTGTCTGCCCTCACACAAAAGAACTTCACAAGGGGATAGAAGATGAAGTAGGGAAATGCATTCAAGAGAGAATGTGAGATTCTCGTGAGTGAAGACAGTAAAGGGTCACAACCCAAGTTAAGGGGCATGTGGATGTGAAGACAATCTGGCTGAGACATCTAGTGCCCCATTGATTGCCAGGGTTGATTAGAACAATCTGACTGGCTGGGTGAGGCCTCCTTCTATCTCACTGTTCCATGTCATCTCTCCCGAAGTTGCATGCTGAGTTGATGAGGATGGCCTTGCCCATATGGAGAAGGATCATTCTTCGGCTGAGGGTATATAATAGCTGTGATCCCCTGCTAGGACCTCCAAATGAGCTTTCTCAAGTTAAGGTACTTGCAGAACCAGAATGCTGCTTGGTTTAGCTAAGGGAGTTTTATAGGTTTTCCTTGAACTCAACCACCTTGCATTTTCTGTGTTGATAAGAGTCTGTACCTAGGGTATTGGTAAGGGGAGAAGTTTGTACTTTTGCTGTCTTGCATATGCTTATCACAGCCATTTGCTCTTGATTTCTGTGCAAACTCTCCGCTAAGCATTGATGCCTTCTCTGGGTTGGGGCTGGGGTCAGAATCTGGCCCTCTGTGTGCATCTCAAAGTATTTCCAGTCTTCTTTATGCTTTAGGGATTCTTTATGCTAGTGACAGAATAACTAACCTGTTCTTGGTTTCCTCACCTTCAGAGATACTCGTTGCTCCGATGTCTTCTAACTGCTTCAGTTTCTTTCAGGAAGGGTGATGTGTGTTGTTGTGTGTTGTTCGAGGGCTCTCAGAGCGGTTCTCTCTCACCACTCGTGTTCAGTGCTCTCGAGCTGCTGTGTATGGATCGGGATGGCTCCTCCTTTGTGCTCTACTTCTGTGTGTGCCACTGTGCTCTCTTCTCTCTGTCTCTCTATCTCTGACTCTGTCTGTGTAGTCTCTCCTCTGATCTCTTCTGATCTCTCTCTCTCTCTCTCTCTCTGGAGCCCTTCTACTTCTCTCTCTGGAGCCCAACCTGCTCTCACTTCTGACTCTGCCCCCTTCTGCTCTTACAGTCTTAGTTTATACAGCAATCACATAGGGTCATGATAGAAAGGTGGGTTGAACATTAACAAATCAACAAAGAGAGGTAAAACCACTCCTCCAGGAGATTAACTCAAGGATAAAATCTTATCTAAAGAGATTATTCTGGATTAGTAGTGTAAGGGACAGGCCCAAAATGGACTACCACCAGAATTAATTTAGCTTAGCTTAATAGGAACCTGCATTGCAAAATAACTTGTTCTTCAAGGAACAGGTCTAGATAAGCTTTTTCAGATCCGCTTTATAGGAGCCTGCACTGCAAAATAACTGGTTTTTCTACCCCTGAGCAAGGAATTCAGATACAGGTCCTCGAAGGGTGGGGGTCAGACCAGATAACCGGATGTCTCTCATAAGACCCATGTTGCAAGACCCAGGACTGCCTTAAAACCCTGTCAGTTCCTAAGCACCGACGCAAAATGCTGATCTTTAAACTATAGGCTAAGAAGTGATGTACCCTTAATTGGATTGGTTAGGAAAGCATATGTTGTTACAAACTATTGGCTATGAAATGCGCGGGCTTTGCTGTAACGGCCAGTGAAGGCCTATATAAGATCCCCTTTGAAGAGGTTCGGGGTCTTGCCTCACCTAACTGACCTGCGTGTCTGTGTAGGCGGCTTGACCTTGGCTAGCCAGTCTTACAATAAACCTTGCTTGCTGTTGGCAGTCTCTGGAGTTTCTTTGTCGTTAAAGGGAGATCACAATCCACGCCCTAACAGTAGGAGATCCATTTAAGGGTGGGATCCCATCCAGGGTGTGTATTTTCTTCTTTCCTCAGAGAGTAATCCACTTAATTAGTTGTAGTAGATCTACTTCTAATATTTCTAGCAATGGCATTCTGTATAAGCACAGTAAGAGATATATCAAGTTTGGTTCTTCCTGAGGACATCTTACTATATATTCCAGACCACAGTCCTCAGGCCAGGTTACTCTTCCTAACACCGCAGGGTTCAAGTCTTGTCGTTACTTCTGGATCATGACAGCATTTGTCCATGATTATGCTCTCAACTTATAGTTGAGTATTGTGGTGCTTTGGCCTGGTTCATTTTGATGCCAGGGTAGCTCACAGCTTGCCCTGGGTCCATTCATTCCCTGGTTGGTACCCTGCTTTTGGGGTGCTAGGAACTAAGGGCAACTGAGTCGAGAAAGCCCATGCCCAAGAGTAAATATTAGTGGAGTAAATCAACTTCCAACTTACAAAAGCATAATATTAACTGTCTTCCTGTGTCCATACAGAAAGGACATTGCTTTACGGTAAACTAAGTTCCCTGCGGCAAGGCTGAAAGGACAAACCCAACATTATCCTACAATGACTGACTAAACAAAAGTAAGGGATTATAATGCACATGTTTCACAAGTGTCAGTGCCTGAATCTGAATTCAACTGTCAAAGAAAAATATGTATTGGTATCTGTTACAACTGAATGACATTACACTGTATAGACTTCACACTGTATATATTCATTCATCAAGGAATGAGGATTTGGGTTGTTTCCAATTAGGGCTACCACAAATAATTCTGTCATATATTTTCTTCATTTAGTAGTAAGACATTTTCAATGTTCTTGAGAACATGTATACAGAGAGAACTATTAGTTCACAAGGTAATAATTTTGTTTAACATTTTAGGGAACTTCAAAACTATATTCCAAAAATATTGCATGCCCTATGTTATGGCAGACCAGGCTGGAAGTTTCTAAGCACAAGCTCTGCATGCTGGAGCTCGGAGTTCAATACACAGCACTGCCTATTTTCCTGAGCACCATCTTCTATCTGGAACAGACCTGATCTTCATTGTGTCTGCACACACACACACACATACACACACACATACGTGCACACACGCACACACACGCACACACACACACTGCAGCATTTTACATAGTCATAGCAACATATGCAGTTCTAATTTCTCCCAATGTTATTTCTTTAAAGAAATCTTCCATTAGATGTGAGACAGTATCTCTGTTTGTGCTTATTTTGAGTTTTCCTTGTGACTGTCCATGTTGGGCTCTTTAAATATGTATATTTGTTAATGAAGAGTGGTTTCTGCAAAACAGGTAGTATAGTTCCAACCTGCAGGGATGGTCAGAAAATGAGACAAACCAAAGACTGTCAGAGCAGTTTATCAATAAGGATATTCCTTTTTTAAAAAAATTTTATTGAATCACCGTGAGACAGTTACAAGCTTTCTTGTTTGAGTTACAATCACACAATGATCAAAGACTCATCCCTCCACCAGTGAACATTCACCACCACCAATATCCCTGGTATACCCCTCCATTACCACTCTCCCCCTGCCTCCATAGCAGACAATATTACCCATACTCTTTCTCTACTTTTGGGCATTATGGTTTGCAATATTCCTTTTCTTTTTTTTTAAAGATATTCTTTGAGAAGTTTGTTATACAATGGTTCTGCATAGCTTATATTTTCACAATTTTTATTAAGCCTGAGCTCCTGTACCAGCAGTTTTTGTGTTGTAGCCCCAACTACTGGTTACATTCCAACAAGGACCTCAAACCCAGAGAGGGCTGATGATAGCAAAACCCTCAGTTTTCCCCTTGCCCAGTGCCAGAAGAGAATGTCTTGACAGTTTCCATCTTAAATTTTCTTTTACTGTGCAGTTTCTTCAGTTTCCTTAATAGACCAAGAGGGAGTCGGAATGATAGTACAGCTGGTAGGGTATTTGCCTTGCATGCGTCTTACTCAGATATAATCCCTGACATCTCATATGGTCCCCCGAGCAGTACCAGGAGGGATTACTGAGTGCAGAGCCAGGAGTAAATCCTGAGCATGGCAGGGTGTGACCCAAAAAGCCAAAAAAATAATTAATTAAAAAAATAAAAGGTAAAAAGAGGCCAATAGATGAACTACTCCCTGGATATCGTCACAGGATATAAAAATCAGAAAATATAGGAATGTTGCATGAACATCCATTCATTCAGAGGCGTGAGACAAGGAACAAGAAAGAAATTTATGTCATGGAGGGCCCAGGTTTTCTCAGACCTGTGACAAAGGTAGAGAACCCGGAAATCTCCTTTTATTACCATCCTACAATTCAATACAGTGAGGTCATCAACAAGGAGTTACAGGAATAACATGCAAAACTGAAAGCTTTTCTGCAAACTGAAAACAAAGAAAGTACCTAGGATCTGCATACTGACAACAAGCAGGCTAAGTAACCTTGGATCTGCATACTGACAACAAGCTAAGTGATCTTCAGGGACCTGTGAGAAAGGATGACTGACAATTCAGTATACCAAAATTTATGAAATTATTTACTAAGGCAGCCAAAAGAAAAAGATTTTCAGCCTCATACAAAACAATCAGGACATATGAGAAACCTCACCCATTTTCATGGATCCCTATGTACTTATCCTTGTGCGGAGCAGTTTACATGGGCTCATCCTGACATCTCAGTCCAACCCCGACATGGGGTGATAGGAATATTGATGGTGGAGAATGGACATTGGTGGAGGGATGGGTACTCAATCACTGTATGACTGAAACGTAATCATGAAAGTTTTTAAGTCTATAACTACCTCACAGTTACAGTTATTCATTAAAAAAAACAGAAAAAAGAAACAATAGGTGTGTAGCACACGTATTTTTAAAAATCCTAACAAAACATTTGTGAGAGCTGGATAGAAATCACCCAAGAGTTTTGTCAACTGTTCTGGCCTGATTAATAACACCAGGTGCCCGTATCCCTGTAAGAGTCCTCCACAGCAGCTGTGCATTGCTTTAGCCTCCCCTAGCTGCACCCCCTTTCCAGAGCAGTTCTTTCTTTACTAAATTTCCATTACTCACTGAGTCCAAACTGTTCGTTCCTCAGGACGCAGACAGGGATAGAGGAAACTTCCCCACGCTGAGAGTCTGTGAGCACTGAAAGCCAGGGGTGCTGTGTCTCTAGCTGAGAACATTCACTGATGAGGCTTTAGTGGCTCCTGTGCGGTCCTGGAAGCTGTTGCTGCTGTTGCTACAGCATTGGGATTTGCAGAGTAAGACTGAGAAGCATCCTGAGATAGAGATCAAACAGGGAAGCTGGTTTCTGGTCACTGGGGGCCCTGCTTATCTTGTATGTCATTTCCTACCTTACTTCAGATATCACTGTCACTGTCCCTGTCCTACCGTTCTTCATTGTTTTGCTCGAGCAGGCCCAGTAACATTATAACACTTTTGTTACTGTGTTTGGCATATCCTATATGTAGCTCGCCAGACTTTGCTGTGCGGGCGAGTAGCTTGCTGGGCTCACCGAGAGGGTTGGAGGAATTGAACTCAGGTCGACCTGGTCGGCTGTGTGCAAGGCAAACACTCTACCCCCTGTGCTATCGCTCCAGTCCAGATATACTTAAAATAAATCACAGCTTAACAATGGGGGAAAATTCACAGGGACCAGGAAGGTGCCTAACTCCTAGGAGACTTAGGAGCAAATGTAGAGAGAGATCTGAAGTGAAAGTCAGAACACTGGCTCTTGGTGGCTTCCTGGGGATATGAATCAGCTTCCTAGGTTTTTACTGTGGCACTTGATTTGGGAATTTTGGTAGTTGGTTTGTGTGGATTTTGGGCTACACCTGGCAACATCACGGGTTATTCCTGGCCTTGAGTTAAGGACTCACTCCTGTCAACCCTCAAGAACCATAACAGATACCATGGATCAAACCCAGGAGTCGCCTGGTTGGGAGGGAAATGCCCTACAAGCTATACTATGACTCCAGCCCCATCACGTGGTTTTATTGACTGCTGGGGAGTAAAAGCAGCATTGTTCCTATGAGTCCCCACCCAGTCAGAAGGAGGTGAATTGAAACATGCAGCAAACAGACTTTGAACCATCAGCAGTTTCACTTGCTTGTTTAATCCTGATCATGTGAATGTCTTTGTGGAGTCCGCAGTAAATAGAAGCTACTGAGGAGATTGGTAACAAAAATGTGAGTTTTGGGGAGTACAAAGTGATAATATAAGACCAAGGTTGCTTGGTGACCTAAAGCTAATGTGTGTGTTCGTGTGTATGTGTGTGTGTGTGTTTGTGTGTGTGTGTGAGAGAGAGAGAGAGAGAGAGGGAGTGAGAGAGAAAGACAGACAGACAGGAAGACAGACAGACAGAGAAATAGACCCACTAGAAAGCAAAAGTAAGTAAGTAAAGGCCCTCCTGTTGATCTTTGATTTGCTCGAGCGGGCCCAGTAACGTCTCCATTGGATACTTTGTTGTTACTGTGTTTGGCATATCAAATACGTCACGGGGAGCTTGCCAGGCTCTGCTATGCGGGCGAGATACTCTCGGTAGCTTGCCGGGCTCTCCGAGAGGGGTGGAGGAATCGAACTCGGGTTGGCCATGTTGGCTGCGTGCAAGGCAAACGCCCTACCGCTGTGCTATTGCTCCAGCATGGTGCACTCTAATTCTTTCTTGGCATCCCTCCATCTAACACCAAGAAGACACAGTCTCTTATTTTCATAATATTCTGGGTTGTGAACATATTTTTGAAAATTTTTTTTGAAATAAATGATCTATATTATAACTTCTCTATCCTTAGGCTGTAATCTAGCATTTTTGAAAAGCTGCGTTTGATGCTATGGTGTGGATATATATGTTAAGAATAACTTAGAGTCTGTATATAATTGTTATTGTCAACTTAAATTATCCATAAGAATAAGGCCTTCACTGATATACAAAGAATAGCACACCACATATGGTGCGGTGTAATTAGAAGGAAAAAATTCTTGATAAAAATATTCATGTGCATCACCTGTTGTCCAGTTGTACATTGATTTGCTCAAGCAGACACCATTAATGTCTCCATTTGTCCCAGTCCTGGGATTTTACCAGCCTCTCCTTATTCATCCTTCCCAATGCAGCCATACTGGAGAATCTTTCAGGGTCAGTAGAATGAAGCCCATTATAGTTACTGTTTTTGGCATATTGAATATGCCACATGTAGCTTTCCAGGCTCTGCTGTGCAGGCAGGATACGCTTGGCAACTTGCTTGGCTCTCCGAGAGAGAGACGGAAGAGCATTCTTGGAGCAAAAAACTGATAAAACAGAAAAAAAGATTAACAATATTATTACATTATATATATAAGCACACAAGACTCAAACTCTACCAACAGTTTTTTTACTTTCTTTTTATTTTATAAAGCAGTTCACAATATTTTATTGCATTTAATATTCAAACACCAATCCCACCACCATTACACCTTCACAACACCATATTTCCATCCCAAACCCCAAATCCTGCCCCAAAGCAGAACAGAAATAATATAATATTTCTCTCTAGGGTTGGTTGCCTCCTACCTTGAATCCCACCAGAGGTGGTGTGGTAATCCTGCAGTATGGGTAGGGTGTGTCGTATTAAGTGCCATATGGCTGCAAATGCTGTCTTGCAGTCCAGGACAAGGTACACTTGTGGGTGACACACAGCTCGAGCTTCTACTAACATTTCAATGATCTCTAATTCAGGGGCTTAATGGCTCCAAGATGAGATACAACAATTTTTAAAAACAATTTTTTTCAAGTGAACATTTTGGATCATTTTTTGTCAATTATTCATGACAAACAATATAAAATAAATTACTTGTCATCTGTTTTTGGGGCAGGCATGGGTGTTGGTGGCAAAACTCAAAATAAAGGTGGTGGGAAAGTGTAATGGTGGTGGGATTGGTTTTGAAATATTGAATGTGATCGAATACTGTGAAAAACTCTTTGAAAATAAAAAAAGAACTTTTACTCTAGGGCAAGTCATATATTATTACTTGAGTTTCATTTCTCTACAAATAAATCATGCTGATATTTTCATATGTACGGGGGATTGCGTTTGAGAAGTATTTACACAGATATTTTGCCTATTTTTTAAACTGTTTACTCTTATGTATTTGAGAAGCATTTTTACACAGATTTTTGCTCATTTTTAAACCTCTTTAGTCAAGTGGTATATTACATTTATGATTTGAACATATCAAACATCCTTTTCTCAGAGATGTGTCCGGCTTGGTAATAATGAATGACTTTCTTGACACGTGGTTAGAGGATATTATCAAGATATTATTGTTTGATTTGACATGAAATAATTTCAATATAAGAGAAGAGAAAGAAAGGATTGTATGTTTAAAAGAGACTGTGAGCTTCAGAAGATCAAGACCCCTGAATGACTTTGAGAAGTGCTGATATGTGGATATTCTCCACATGGTCTCGGCTTGAAGTTCTATGCCCAAGTAAGCATTGTCAGGTGTTGTCATAAGGGAAGAGTTTGAACTACCGGTGGTTTCATTATATTGCTATTGCCTTTTTGATCATGATTTTTGGCTTTGGGACTAGGGTTTATTTCTGGTTCTGAACTCAGGAATTACTCCTAGCAGGGCAAAATTCTTTCATCCATTTTATTCATAACTGGTGAAGTCATTAGATTATGAGCCTGACTTAGGGTGTCTTACAATTGTAGGTTCATTTTTCTCTGAGTCTTCAAAAGCTCTGATCTAGGACCTACTCTTCTTCTCCCTTCAGCTTGATTATCCTTCCCTCAGATCAGGGAGGATTAGAGAATGGGAATTTAAGGTAGCTATTAGCTTACATTGTGATACTAGAGGAATCTCCCAGGCTTCCTTGAACTGATATTATTGTTCTTTGGAGGGAGGGGCAGATAGAATACACAGAGGGATTTTCATTAGTTAAATATGAATCCACTGAATCTTCATTGACAGTCCTAATTCCTAAGAACTGCTTCCACAGTTAAAACCAATTAGTCAGAAACAAAGTATTTGTGATGGTTAGGTCATTGGTAAATTATATTAAAAACTTGGTAATATTCTTTCTGTTAATCTGTAATTTGTTTGATGAATAGTATCTGGCATCTCTCTCAGATTTGATCCAGGAAAAATTTCTGTAGTTATGCTCTGTTTGTTTTCTGAACTGCCAGTTAGACCAACATCCACAATAAATAATAAATGAAACGTGTCTCATTAAAAGGAGACAATAAATATAAATATTTAAAAATTTAATCTAATTTAAAACACTTGTTATAGTACTACTGTATTTCACACCCAATTCATGCTCTGAAAGTGTCAGTCCCATAGGCTCAGGTGAAAAGTCTAAATATCACTTAGAGAAAAATCCCATCTGCTTGATCTCTACCTCTAGATTGAGTATTAAAGATTTCCAGGAAAAACCATGGCCTCGGGTACAGCTCTGACCATGAGGGAGGAAGCCACCTGCCCCATCTGCCTGGAGCTGATGACTGAGCCCGTGATCATAGACTGTGGACACATCTACTGCCAATCCTGTATAATGAAAAATATTGAGAACCAGCAACAGAAGTCACCGTCAAAAGGAAACTTCCAGTGTCCTGTATGTAGGTCGCAGTTTAAAAGGGAGAGCATCCGTCCCAGTAAGCAGCTAGGAAACCTCATTGACACCATTAAGAAGATGGAGCAGGAATATTTGTGTGAAGAACACGGAGAGAAGCTCTTCCTGTTCTGTGAAGATGATGGTCAGCTTGTCTGCTGGTTTTGCGAGCGGAAACCACAGCACAAAGGGCACACCACTGTCCTTGCTGTCAATGCCTATCAAGGCTACAAGGTGAGTACTATTCAGAGTACTTCACAAGAACCCATTCATCTTTTGTGTCTTTTGGTCTCCCCTGAGATATATAATGAAAAATTGCCCAATTAATAAATTTCAATCAAACATTTTTTTTCCTTCAGAAAAAGTTCCAAGAAACTTTGACATCCCTAAGGGATCAAGAAGCCAAAAATAAGGAATGTCAAGGTAACATAAGAGAGAAAATAAGAAAAGTTCAGGTAAGAAATTGAGTTCATTTAGCTTTATAGCTAAATATATTAGCTCTAAAGATTAGACATATATTACTACTTTGTAGTAGAGTTTTAGGTTGGGGAGGTTGATTCCTTCCATTTTCTTTTTCCCAAGAATTGCTTTAGCTATTTGTGGAGGTTTATTGTTCCATATGAATTTCAGGAGTGTTTGCTCCATTTCTTTGAAGAATGTCATGGGTATCATTATTGGGATTGCATTGAATTTGTACAACGCTTTGGGGAGTATTGCCCTTTTGACAATGTTAATTCTCCAGATCCATGAGAAGGGGATATCTTTCCATTTCCTCAAGTCCTCTTTTATTTCAAGAAGTAGTGTTTTGTAGTTTTTTTTGTACAGGTCTTTTTTTGTCCTTAATTAAGCTGATTCCTGGGTACTTGATTTTTGGGGGCACGACTGTGAACGGGATTTTTTTTTCAGTCACTTTCTTCTGTCTCATTATTTGTGTATAGGAGAGCCATGGACTTTTGGGTTTTGATTTAATAGCCAGCAATTTTTGTATACAAGTCTATTGTTTCTAGGAGTTTCTTGGTACAGATTTTAGGGTTCTCAAATATAGTGTCATATCTCAATAGTGAGAGCTTGATTTCTTCCATTCCTACCTGAATGCCCTTAATATCTTTTTCTTGCCTAACCACTATTGCAAGTACTTCCAGTACTATATTGAATAGCAGTGAAGAGAGTTGCCATCCTTATCTCAACCCTATCTTAGAGAGAAGGCTCTTAGTTTTTCCCTATTGAGGATGATGCCTGCCATAGTCTTGTGGTACTGGAACAAAGGCAGAGTCGCAGACCAACAAAACAGGGTTGAATATACTGACACCTCCTCCCAAATATAAGATTATATAATCTTTGATAATGTTAAGTGGATCAAGGAAAGCCTCTTTATCAAATTGTGCTGGCAAAACTGGACAGCAACATGAAAAAAAATGGGCTCAGATCTCTACCTAACACTATGTACAAAAGTAAGATCAAAATGGATTAAAGACCTCAACATCAGACCGAAATCCATAAGGTATATTGAAGACAAGGTTGGAAAAACACTCCATGATATTAAAGCGAACAGTATCTTCAATGATGACACGCCACTGGCCAAGCAAGTGAAAACAGAAATAGATAAATGGGACTATAAACTAAGAAGCTTCTGCACCTCAAAAGAAACAGTGAGCAAAATACAGTCTACAGAATGGGAAACGATATTCACCCTTACCCATCCGACAAGGGGTTGATATCAAGGATATACAAAGTACTGGTTGTACTTCACAAGAAGAGAACATCCAACCCCATCAAAAAAAAAATGGGGCTAAGAATTTAACAGAAACTTCCCAAAGAAGAAATCAAATGGGAAAATGGCACACAAGAAAATGCTCTACATCACTAATCATCAGGGAAATGCAGATCAAAACAATAATGAGATATCATTTCACACCACAGAGATGGCCCACATTCAAAAGAAAAAAAGCAACCATGTTGGCGAGGATGTGGTGAGAAAGTGACCCTCCTTCACTGCTGGTGGGCATGCTGACTGGTTCAGCCCTATTGGAAAACAGTATGTAAGATTCTCAAAAAATTAGAAACTGATCTCCCATTTGACCCAGCAATACCACTCCTGGGAAGATATCCCAGAGAGGCAAAAAAGTACAGTGGAAATGACAGCTGTACTTCTATGTTCATTGCTGCACTGTTCACAATAATCAAAATCTGGAAAAAACTCGAATGCCAAGAACAGATGACTGGGTAAGTAAACTTTCATATCTCTACACAGTGGAAAATTTGCAGATGTTAGAAAAGATAAAGTCATGAAATTTATATACAAGTGGTTCTATATGGAAAGTATCATGCTAAGAGAAATGAGTCAGAAAGAGGGACAGACACAGAAAGACTGCACTCATATGGGGAATATAAAGTAACAGAATGGGAGTCAAACACCCAAGAATAGTTGAGATAAGTACCAGGAGGTCTGCTCCATGGCTTGGAAACTGGCAGCATCTGGGGGGGAAAGGCAGCTCAAGATAGAGTAGAGAACATCATGTAAAGGATATTTGGAAGACTCACTTGGGATGCAAGATCACTGTCACTGTCCTCCCATTGTTCATCGATTTGCCTGAGCGGGCCCAATAACGTCTCCATTGGAGACTTTGTTGTTACTGTGTTTGGCATATCGAATACATCACGGGTAGCTTGCCAGGCTCTGCCGTGCAGGCGAGATACTCTCAGTAGCTGCCGGGCTCTCCGAGAGGGGCGGAGGAATCAAACTCAGGTCGGCCATGTTGGCTGCGTGCAAGGCAGACGCCCTACCGCTGTGCTATCACTCCAGTCGGATGCAAGATGTGTGCTGAAAATAGACTATAGACCGAACACGATGGCCACTCAATACCAATACTGAAAACTACAACACCCAAAAGGAAAGAGAGAGCAAAAGGGAATGCCTTTCCACCAAGATGGGGTGTGGTGGGGGGGATGGGTTGGGGGGGGTAGGAAATCTACTGGGATCATTGGTGGTGGAGAATGGGCACTGGTGGGGGGATGTGTACTCGATCATTGTATAACTGAAACCCAAGTACCAAAGTTTGTAAGTCTACAACTGTACCTCATGGTGTTTCACTAATAAAATGAATAAATAAATAAATGTAAAAATAAAGATTAGGCATATAGAAGGATTAGTCAAATCAAAAGGATGTTTTAATCTCGCTCATCTATAATAAATCAATAAAAAAGGCCCTCCCGTTGATCGTCGATTTGCTCGAGCGGGCCCAGTAATGTCTCCATTGGAGACTTTGTTGTTACTGTGTCTGGCATATCGAATACTCTCGGTAGCTTGCCGGGCTCTCCGAGAGGGGCGGAGGAATCGAACTCGGGTTGGCCATGTTGGCCGCTTGTAAGGCGAACGCCCTACCCGCTGTGCTATCTTTCTAAGACTCCTAGGTGGCCACAATTCTGAGATTTGAACTCCTGTTTATTGACCTTTAAACAGTAATTGCTGAGGAGTCTGAATATCAGTTAGGATAAGCAATATTAATTGTCTCCTTCCTTAGATTCATCTTGACTGGTTTACAAGCCTTAAACATCTCAATGTAATTTCTGTTTGAGGTGTAGACCTCCCACTCTGAATTTACCACAATACAGGATCTGGCCTGTCAATTTCCACGCCCAGAAACTAATCATTGTGAGGAACAGGATCTCTGCAGGTGGAATTCATACACAAAAAATTCCTGAGGATCAGCAGATAATGGTGAACAACATCTACAGCTGAAAACTTAGGTCTATTTCTGATTGACCAGACTGCTTATGAGAGAAGCTCAGAATTTTTCTGGTAACATTGATGTAATCCAAAAGATTACACTCAAATTTAACAGGTCAGTGGGCCTTTAAAGGTGTCTTTCCAACATCTGCCCTCATCTGTTTATGTGAATATTTAATTTTTCTGACAGATGATATTCATTCTTCTCTCAATTTAACAGTCATGGGTAGTGCACGACAAAAAGCTCCAGGTAACACGTAAAGAAATCCCAATCCAGAGAGAGATGGACTTCCTGTCTCTGTAAGTTCTATTCAATTTTACATGAATGATACTACTATATTTTGATTTTTTTCATCTAAAAATAAACAGTCCTCTGTGCTTGGAACATGCTTTCTTCATTTTTGTCTGAAATTCTGCATGAAAAAAATTTTATCAAGTATAGCTTTAAGATATTTCACATGATACTATACATGGAGGAGAAATCTTATCTACATAGACTGGAGAATGGAAAAGAGCAAGTTTTGAAGAGACTGCAGGAGACTGCAGCCCAGCTGGAGAAGCAAAGCCAGGAACTGAACAAACACATCCTGGAACTGGAGAGGAAATGTCAGGGCTCAGCCCAGGAGTTACTGCAGTTGAGACTGTGCATGTGGCAGAATGCATGAAGGCATCAGTTCCTGGGTTTTCAGAGGAAATCGTGAGGAATTTAGAGAAATGATCTGCAGCGTTCTTTCTCAGAAATGCACACAAGGCTAGAGCTATAGTACAGTGGGTAGGGCATTTGCCTTGCATGCAGCCGACCCGAGTTCAATCTTGGGCATCCCATAGGGTCCCCCAAGTACCACAAGGAGTATTTCCTGAGTGCAGAGCCAGGAGCAACCCATGAGTATCGCTGGGTGTGACCCAAAAAGAAAAAAAAATTACACACGAGAGTAGATAATTTAAATGTATGCTTACTTTAACATACACATGCCTGTATATGGGTGTCCTTCGCTAATCTGTAGACTGTCTTTGTGTAAATCACAAAAGAGGCCCCTGGAATACATATGGCCATTCTTGGGGAACCTCAGGAGAACTTTGGTAAGCATACGATGGCCTCCATCTAATTTGCAGAGATTTCTGGTGTCAAATGTCCTGTCGACTCTTGCAAGCTAAAACCTGGTTACCAAAAAGACTGATAAATTTTCCTCTCGAGTTGTTCCTGTGTCCTGCTCAAACAGATACAGTGAGGCCTGATTTTAGCTATAGTAAGGATATAGCACACTGGGATAAATGCCGGGAAGTCCTTACTCTATTTTCACAAAAGATGGAGGTGGCACAGCAAGACCTTTCTTCTCAGTGCAAACCTGCTGCCCCCACCTAAGTGAGTCAGTCTCCAGGGCACTATGTGAATTCTGTTATGGTCTTTGTGGAAATGTCTACTATAATATCTTCAGAAGCAATGAGTCATTGATTGCAAAAAGTGCTTAATGAGCAAGTTTGAGACAATTCCTGATCTTCCTCCAAGTGCACACAGGTTATGTGGTTATAGAATTATTAAATCCCCATGTTCCCAAAGTAAGAAAACATACTCTGTGGTTGATCAGATACTGTATTGTATTATACTGGGCCAGTGTTTCTCTCAATTTTTGTGCATGTGCTGGTGAAGGTAAACAAGGGTAGAGAGGTGAATATCAGTGGTCTATCACAGTGCTTATAACTGCTACGCTGGAATGATATGCAGACAGGTGTTGGACCACAGGTGAAATGGCTGAACAATGCTGTACTAGGTAATTGGGATCAGAATCATACCCTGGGAATTCATTAATACATAGGAGTGGAACAATTGACTTTAATAGTGGTATAATTATAGAGAAATATTCACCCATCAAAGTTCTATATAATGCTAATATTTCCATAGCAACTTCTATCTCTCTTTCTCTATAGGATGTGACAGACACTTTGGACAGGTGAGTGCTCTTTGAATTAAGGAGGGAAGGAGAGTGGCTTTATGGAGTCCAATGGAATATCACTCTGATGAAATTTCTTGACTCTTCTTCATTAGGATTTCTGCTATGAATTTAAACACACCAGAGGATGTCTCATCGGATATTTATGCTCAGCCTGATCTTTATAACATTTTCTTTAAATTGATAAAAATGTTTGAGACTGATTATGGTATGTGACATGCAAAATTTCTGAAATAATACAGGTGGGAGGAATAATGGGCAACACATTTTATTGCTCTTTTCTGGGCATATTCTAGCTAGAGTATTGGTTTTCTTAATGACTCTTCAGCTCTTTCTCTCCAGTTCACTAGTGATGTCTCCCAGCTAAATAACTATATATCTGTCCTACATAAAAAAACAAAATAGTAACACTTAACACTCATGCACTGTGAAAATTTAAAAAAAAACATTAATTACACAAAGCATAGAGAAAAGCATTTGGGATATTAATGATTATGTTTATGTCCCTCAATTCCCAGCATAATAATAGAAAGGTAGGTGAAGACTGTGTTGCTGTGGTTTTAGGGCTACACAAGATAACACAATAAATGTTTGAAACATTTGAAAATCAAGTCCTACTCTGTCCAAATTTACTGTTTGTTTCTTCAGTCTTTCCATACTTGCTTTATTTTTCTAATAACCTACAATTATTTTTTAAAAAAACTCTGAAAACAAAGATATTTTTATGATTTGTTAGGCTATAAAGTAACAACCACTATAAAAAATTTTGTGTTGCATTTAATTTAGTGGTTACAAATAATGCACTGTCAGTCCTGAGCATAGTATCACAAGACGAGTGTTTGCCTTTTATGCAGCCAACCCGGTGTAGATCCCTGGCATCTGATATGGTCCCTGAGTTTTGCCAAGATTGGTCACTAAGTGCAGAGTTAGGAGTAAGTCCTGAGCACAGCTGATTGTGGCATCAACCCCCTCTTCCCTACTCCCGCCCCAAATAAGAACAGAATACCTCACAACTTTGCCCCCAACTCAGCAATCCTTGAACTGGAGTCTAACGAAGGTTCAATAAACATGATCCGTTGGATATGTTTTTATCTGGAAACTAACACAATCCACTTACGAATACATTGTGACTGTAAGCAGAATTCACATCTTGATGCATGTAGGAGCTCGGGCACTAGCACTTTGCTGGTTGCAGGCTGGATGCCGCCTTCTCTTTCCTGATGAAAACTCTCAAATGTGTGTGCATGAGTCTCCCTACATGGCAAATTGTTTCTGCAAAGTGAAGTCAAGAAGCAAGAGTCTCTATAGCGCAAATATGATGGCATTATTAACACTGCCATAATAAAGTATAATAAGAGACACGAAACCCATGTTTTATTCTTTTTGGGTCACACTCGGTGATGCATTGGGGTTATTCCTGGCTCATGCACTCAGCAATTATTCCTGGCAGTACTCAGGGGACCATATGGGATGCTGGAATTTGAACTCGGGTCGGCCGCGTGTAAGGCAAATACCTTACAGCTGTGCTATTGCTCCAGCCTTGAAACCCATTATTTATACTGTATACATTCACTGTAACTTTACATTCTAGGTGTCTGCTCCTGAAATTTATTATACGAAGTTGCTAACAGATGGGGATTTTTAGTCATTATTGGACTGAGAGCCTCAGTGACCAAAACTAAATTGCTCTGTGAATGGTATGTGGTCTTCATTTATTCTACTTAGTTTAGTTATAGGAGTGCTGATGAGATGAGCACTGACTTAGCACTGGGTGTGTCCACATGCTTAGAATATAGAGATATTGCTTTGCATTTATGAGAAGAAAAATGTTCTGAATCCAAAGACGTGCTTCACTCAACATGTTTCACACAATAAAATTTCATATTTCTATACTTTAAGTATGTTATGCAGTAACTGGGGTGAGAATGTAAGCAATTGCTATTTAGGTGAGGGAAAAGCTCTTATAATAGAGACCTCCCCTCCTACAAAGTGAGTTGGATCCTGTTAAGTGTGTCTCTGCAGATACCGTTTTTCTACATTACTCTAACCAGTGTGCAACAAAATCTGTTGATGACAATTTTGCACCCTTTCTCTAGCTGATATGAAACCATTATAGTATTTTCATTTTATATTAACTTTTTTAAATATTAAATTTCTTTTCTAAAAACATTTATTTTTTTCACTTCCAGCTGTGAGCTCAGGGATCACTCCTGGAAACATTTTGAGATGCCGGGATCAAATGCAGGTCAGCCACCTGCAAAAGCATCCTATCCTACCCATTGTACTATCATTTCAGCCCCATTGTTTATAAATATTTATATAATACATATAGAAATAACATATTTGATGTACTATTTCAATTATCATGCCTACATATATGTTCTGTGAATTTTACTTATTTTTAAGATTCTATGTTACTCACTGCAAGTTTGAATGCTGTCAATTATAGAATTGCAGACATACAACATTTCAGCACAAACCCCACCAAAATGTCCATTTCTTCATCCCTCTTCTGCTTTACAAAGTTAATTCCCTCAAACCCCATCTGTCCATATTCCCAACATGGTAAGCGTGGCTATGTAGCACAGTTCACAGATTCTGTTGTTTGTGTTCATTTGATATTATTCACTTATAAAGTTTCTTTATATTCCATATATGAGAGGAAATATGCTGTGTCTGTCTTATAGCTTCTAGATGTCTTCAGTATATGAAAAATGCATAATTAAATCTTATAGCTGAGTTGCATTCTCTTGCATATAGATACAATGTTTTCTTTATCAGTTATCTGAACATGGAAATGGATTATTTTCAGATGTTCACCAATGTTACCAGTAACAATGATGGGTCTCATTCTCCTGACCCTGAAAGAGCCTCGAATGTGGCACTTTTTAAAATCTCAGGGCTAGGAAGAGGGAGGTGTTACTAGGACCTGCTCAAGGCAATCGATGACCAACAGGATGACAGTGAGTGAATGATACCAATGTGACTCGTGCTGTAATGAACATAGGAGTGCAAATGCATTTTCAATAGAAATTTTGGGCCTTTTTCATAGGTTCCAGAAGTGTAATAACAGTGTCATCACGATCACAACCATTCTGTTGTTTGTTGATTGCCTCGAGAAGGCCCCAGTAACATCTTCTTCATCCTAGCCCTGAGATTTTTAAAAAAAGTGCCATATTAAAGGATCTTTCAGGGTTAGGAGAATGAGACCCATTATTGTTACTGGTATTTGGCATATTGGGTACACTATGGGGAGTTTGCCAGACTCTGCCGTGTGGGCAAGTTACATTTGGTAGCCTGCCATTTTGTCCAAAGTAAGAATGAGATAATAAAATGAGATAATAAAATGCTTCTGGGAGCTGGGCTTTATAGTCTCTGGGTCTTGGCTGTTGATGGGACTACACAGCGCTGGGGGGGCCAGTTGGTTGGAGTGACCTCTGCCTACTGGAATGTGGAGGATCTGGGTGGAGGATGCTCAGTCCCAATCTGAGCAGGCTTGGAGACCTCAGCCCCGGGACCCGCATGCCTTTGTTCCTCTGCCAGTACCTTCATGCAAGTGGAGAGTGGTTTCAGCATGGTGGTGGCTGGTTCTGGAGGTCTTCGGCTGTCAGATCCCTGGTCGGGGCAGGAAGGGAAACTCAACCCAGTGTCTTATGGAAGCTCAATTCTTATTTTTTTGCATTTCTCCATTTTCTAAGAAGTTTGCACCAAGGGGCTGGAGCGATAGCACAGCAAATAGGGCATTTTCCTTGCATGCAGCGGACCCAGGTTCGATTCCCAGGATCCCATATGGTCCCCGAACACTGCCAGGAGTAATTCCTGAGTGCATGTTCCAGAACTAACCCTGTGCATCACCGGGTGTGACCTAAAAAGCAAAAAAAAAAAGTTTGAACCAAGCATGCTACCCAGCAACAATGATTGAAGCTTCCTTTTTCCACATCTGTCCATTAATGCTGTATTTTTCTAACTGGTGTGAGATGATATCTCGTTGTAATTTTGATATGAATTATCCTGTTAGTAAATTTTGGTTATGCTTATTGGTTATCTGCATGTCTTCTTTGAGAAAGAATCTGTACATATATTCTCCGCCTTTTTTGGTTTTCTTTTCATTGCCGAATCTTAATGGGCATTCAAACAAGGTCTATTTTTTAACCATTCAAAGTATATACATAAAATCCCAAATGTATTCTATCACCTCCTTTTAAGAACTCATTGAGGAGGGTTTAATAAGAAACAAATAATTAAACATATAATAGATTTGGGCAATGAATAAGGAGCACTGAAGCAACCAGAGCAGAGAGAGTCAGGGAGTCCTCACCATGCGAGTGCTCAAATAAAGGTGGAGGGACCTGAAGAACAGCAGAGAGTGTGACCTGAGAGAGAAGTGCAGACTCTCAGAGCACTGGGGAGAAGCTCTCATAATAATGATTGCCACTCCACCTCTTAGTTTTACATGTAATCCCCAGCACTCTCACTGGCTAAGTAGAATGAAGTCAGATAGAAGGAAGGAAGTTGGTTTCATAGAGTTCTTTTTTTTGTCTTAAATCCACTGTTATTGAGTTAAATGTTACCTTATATGATTTCATCTTTTATTTTTTATTTATTTTTTATTTTTATTAGTGAGACACCATGAGGTACAGTTGTAGACTTACAAATTTTTGTGCTTTGGTGCATTTACACAATGGAGTACTATGCAGTTGTTAGAAAAGACAAAGTCATGAAATTTACATACAAGTGGTACTACATGAAAAGTATCATGTAAAGCGAAATGAATCAGAAAGAAAGGGATAGACATAGAAATATTGCATCCATCTGGGGAATATAAAGTAACAAAATAGTAGACTAACACCCAAGAATGGCCAAGATTAGTACCAGGAATTTTACTCCATGGCTTGGAGGCCAGCCACACATGCTAGGGAAAAAGAGAGCTCAGATAGAGAAGGGAGCACCAAATAAAGGATGTTGGGAGGATCCACCCAGGATGGGAGAAACATGCTGAAAGTAGACTACAGACCAAACACGATTGCCACCCATTGCCTCTTTTGCAAACCACAACACCCAATAGGAGAGAGAGAACAAATAGGTTTCATAGAGTTCTTGAGGTCAGAAATACAAGGTATCAAAAGGTGGGGAGTGGTTTTGAGGAAAAACAAACAAGTGAAAAAAAAGCTTAGTGTTTCTCCTTCTTTATTTCCCATGTGTTTCTGGTCATCTGCTTGGTACTTAATCAAGGTGTTGAGTCATATTTAGACTAGGTGACTAAATCACTAGCTTCAACCTGTTATCATGTTTTATTTTTTTAATTTTTCTTTAGCATCATACCATTAGGACCATTATTTTTACTCCTTCTTAATGCTACTCAAATCACTTTTGTGTATATTGGTACTTGGTACTTCAGCTTGTACTAAACTTTATGATTCATGAGAAACCAAAGAGTGTATACTTAAAGTTGGTGAGGGCCCATGTGTCCTAAGGCCCAAATAAAATCCTGTGTGCCAATAATCAAGTATTTAATTAACTGTCTTTTCTCATTCTGATACTGTGTCAGTGTCATTTGGAAACATTGGGAGAGCTTAGGAGAAGAGAGTAAGGAAAAATATCAAATATAGTCATCTGTTCTTTTGCTGATATTACTGTGAAAAACAAATAATATTGATTAAGAACAGAAGATTACTTGGAGTCTTAGAAATATATTGCTGCTCCTACCAGATATCTCACAATGCCACTTAATGACAGCAATGCCCAATATCAATCATATATTAGCTCTCCAATCCTTCCACCTTTCTTTGTGAAAGATATTTCTGTTTTACTATTTACAATGAATTTGGATAAAATAACTAGGAAGGCTGTCAGAAAAAAAATTTTTCTTTAGAGCATGGGCTGATAATATTTAGAATATACTGAGTACTTAAGTATGAAGTAACCATGTCATTTTGTTTTCCATTGTTTTTTAACTCATTTGTTTTGTGAAGTTACAGTTACTCTAGATCCAGATACAGCTTACAATAAACTACTTCTGAACAAGGATGAAAACAAGGTGACTGGTGGATCCCCCCAAGTGAAGCATGAGACTCCTGCTAGGTTCAAAGACTTACCCTGTGTCCTGGGATATGAGACCATCACCTCAGAAAAACATTACTTTGGAATATATAGTATAAGAGGACCCGAGTGGGATGTCGGAGTTTGTTGGGAAAATGTGTCAAGAGACAATGACATGAGACGGGATCCTGAGTCTGGATTCTGGGCCATCAGACGTTGCAAAGATGATGATTATGTAGCTCTTACGTCTCCCCTAACTCCTCTTTCTCTGGAGAATGTTAATAACATAGGGGTTTTTGTGGACTATGAGGCTGGACTTCTCTCCTTTTATGATGAGGACTCTTGTTCTCACATCTTCACTTTCCCAAAGGCCTCTTTCTCTGACCCTATCAGGCCTTATTTTCGTGTTGGTGAAGATTCTGCTCTGTACACATGGCCACAAAGCCTTTAAAAATTGTTTAAAAAAATGTGAGATTTGTAAGAAAAGGAGCACAGTATCCTTATGCATGTATCCAGTTTAAAGGAATAGAATTCAAATTCTGTGACTGTAGAAATTTTCCAGTTTAAAGAAATAGAATTCAAAATCTGTGAATGTAAAATTTTCATTATTTTCTTCACTATTCCCATAACCCAGAAGATGTTACACTTAGTGCTTACCTAATAGATTTTCATTGAATGAATGTTTATAAAGACTTTAAGCAAGTAGGACAAATGATACATTCTTCTAAATCACAAATCTTTTAGAGGGAAATTACTTAGTTACAAAGACCATAAATCTCCTACTTTCCTATCTTCAGTGGATACATTTTAATGAAATAAATACTAGGCCAAGCCAAATTCCCATTAGTGATTTCTTCTTAAAAGGTGAAAGGTAAAGGCCCTCCCGTTGATCGTCGATTTGCTCGAGCGGGCCCAGTAACGTCTCCATTGGAGACTTTGTTGTTACTGTGTTTGGCATATCGAGTACTCTCGGTAGCTTGCTGGGCTCTCCGAGAGGGGCGGAGGAATCGAACTCGGGTCGGCCATGTTGGCCGCTTGTAAGGCAAACGCCCTGCCCGCTGTGCTATCGCTCCAGTCCATGATTTCTTCTTAATTAATAAAAATCTTTCCTTTGAGTGTGAATGTGCTGAAACCATCCCCATTCAATGTCCCTTGCAGTGTCTTGTGCAAATCTTGGGAGAGTAATCTCAGGACTAAAGCAGTTAATCCCAGAGGTTTATTCCAACCTAAGAGAGGTTTATATGTCCAACAAAAGGAAATACAAACTCAAGTGAAAAGATAAAAAATATAGCGTTTTATTGGAGAACAGTATTCACTTCAGAACAAAGTATTCAGATTGCACTCGCTTGTGGCATATGAAAAACAGATAGTAGGTGACTATTACTGAAGACAAGAGAAATGAGGGCCGGGCCACTAATCTATGGTTAGAAGCTTTCCATGAGTTTGTGTGGACGTGGGGGTTTGAGTGGGGATATTAGGGCAGAGAAGAGACCACTGTGACATTGATAATTGGAGATGATCATTCTGGCTACCAGCAAGTACTGATAACTTTTCAGTGTCTGTATTGCATCTGTATTGCAACCCATAAGGCCAAAAGGAGAGAGGGAGAGAGAGAGAGAGAGAATGAGAGAGAGACAGAGACAGAGAGACAGAGATGGAGACAGAGATACAGAAACAGAGACACAGAGACAGAGACAGACAAAGACAGAGAAAGAAAGAGAGAGAAACAGTAAAAGTGCCTTCTACAGAGTCAAGCTGGGTGGAATAGGTGATGGCAGTTTGACAGGATGAAAACCGGGGACACTGGAGGTAGGAAATGTGCACTGGTGAAGGAAGGGATGTTGGAACATTGTAATACTGAAACCCAGTAATGAATAACTTTCTAACTGTGTATCATAAGGTAATTCAATAAAAAAGAATAGTGTCAAAGCATACATGTATGCTAGGGGAAAGGCAGCTCAGTTAGAGAAGGGAGCACCAAATAAAGGGTGTTGGGGGATCCTCCCAGGATGGGAGAAGCATGCTGAAAGTAGACTATGGACCAAACATGATTGCCACTCAATGCCTCTTTTGCAAACCACAGCACACAAAAGGAGAGATAGAACAAAAAGGAATGCCCTGTCACAGAGGCAGGGTGGGATGGGGGGTATGGGGGGCGGGAGGGATACTGACATTCGTGGTGGTGGAAAATGGGAACTGGTGGAGGGATGGGTACTTGATCATTGTATAATTGAAACCCACCACAAAAATTTTTAAGTCTACAACTGTACCTCATGGTGTTTCACTAATAAAATTTTTTTTAAAAAAAGTTTACATGTATGCTAATAATGAGTATCTCTGTTCCTAAGTAAGACTGCTTGCTCAAAGTAACTGTACACACTCTGAGTTAAAGTGGAGCATTAAAAGAGAAAAAACTATTTCTAGTAATTTCTGATTTATGTAGCTGTATGTTCACGATGTGGGTGGGCAACTCTTTCAGTGACCAAGAGCTACCTCTCAGGTCTCCACAGCAGAGCAACAAAGAGACAAGGGACCACAGACTGATGTTGAAAATGACCCGTTTAATGCATAACTATGAGCATACTAATAGAAAATCTGAGGGGGCTTGAGGTATTGGACTGCATGTAGGTGTGATTGATCATTTACAGAGGGAAAGCACTTCAGTGAGGCGATTTCTTTTTTTGGGGGGGAGCGATTAATTCAAGAAGACACTCTGTTTCCTAGAGACATCTATATTGTTTTTCTCTTTCCCTTTGGTTGTTCATAGCACTGTAGCACTGCCCTCCCATTCTTCATTGATTTGCTTGAACAGGCACCAGTAAAGTCTCCATGTTGTGAGACTGTTGTTACTGTTTTTGGCATATCGAATACTTCACAAGAAGCTTATCAGGCTTTGCTGTGTGGGCAAAATATACTGTCTGTAGTTTGCTGAGCTCTCTGAGAGGCGTGGCAGAATCGAAACCGGGTTGGCTGTGTGCAAGGAAAACGCCCTACCCGCTATGCTATCGCTCCAGCCCAGTAATGCACCAAAATGAAAATAAAACATAACTGTAAGACCTATCGATTTGCACAATCTATAATAACCCACAAAGAGGCTCAGGGACAGCTCAGTGGCAGAGCTCCTGCCTTGAACAAAAGCTCCATTCCCAGGCTGTCTCACATGAGCATAACATGAGTCTGCAGCCTACCCTGTGATAATCTGGTGCCACACCAAGTGTGAAAATCTTTAATGTGTAAGCAGTGAGCAGAGAGGCCCGAGTGTGTTCTCCAGCAAGTGCTGCAACTAAACACTTCAGTGAGGCGATTTTTGGGGTGGGGGGAGGGCGATTAATTCAAGAGGACACTCTGTTTCCGAGAGACATCTATATTGCTTTTCCCTTTCCCTTTAGTTCTTCATAGCACTGTAGCACTGTCCTCCCAATCTTCATCAATTTGCTTGAGCGGGCACCAGTTGCATCTTCACTGTGAGACTGCTGTTACTGTTTTTGACATATCGAATACGTCAGGAGAAACTTGCCAGGCTTTACCATGTGGGTGAAATATACTGTCTGTAGCTTGCCGGGCTCTCCAAGAGAAGTGGCAGAATCGAAACCGGGTTGGCCGTGTGCAAGGAAAACGCCCTACCCGCTATGCTATCGCTCCAGCCCAATAATGCACCAAAATGAAAAAAAACATAATTGTAAGACATATCGATTTGCACAATCTATAATAACCCACAAAGAGGCCCAGGGACAGCTCAGTGGCTGAGCTCCTGCCTTGAACAAAAGTTCAATTCCCAGGCTGGCTCACATGAGCATAACATGAATCTGCAGCCTACCCAGTGATAATCTGGTGCCAAACCAAGTGTGAAAATCTTTAATGTGTAAGCAGTGAGCAGAGAGGCCAGAGTATGTTCTCCAGCAAGTGCTGCAACTAAACTCTCATCAAGAACCACAGCTAGGGGATGGACTGACAGTACAGTGGGTAAGGTTCTTGCCTTGCACATGCCCAACCTGGTTTCAACCACAAGCATCACATATGGTTCCCCAGTCCTCATCAGTAATGATTTTGAAAAGATTAGTTTTTTTTTGATACATGCTAATGATGTGTCTGAGGGACAAATAGAGATATTTATGTCTACACAATTAACTGTGCATCAGAATCTTTAAACAATCATATTAAACAATTACTGGTTTTGGCATATTGACATTCCAATTTTAGTATATCGGCTGGAGCGATAGCACAGCGGGTAGGGTGTTCGCCTTACAAGCGGCCAACATGGCCGACCCGAGTACGATTCCTCCGCCCCTCTCGGAGAGCCCAGCAAGCTACTGAGAGTATTTGATATGCCAGATACAGTAACAACAAAGTCTCCAATGGAGACGTTACTGGGCCCGCTCGAGCAAATCGACGATCAACGGGAGGGCCTTTACCTTTTACATTTATTGACATAATTAAACAATTAAGTTTATTACTTATTAAATAGCACAGTGGTAGGGCATCTGCCTTGCACGCAGCCGGACCAGCTGAGTAGGGTTCCATTCCTCCACCCCTCTCAGAAATCCCTGAAAGCTACTGAGAGTATCTCGCCTGCAGGGCAAAGCCTGGCAAGCTACGCATGATGTATTCAATATGCCAAACACAGTAACAACAATTTCACAATAGAGATGTTACTGGGCCCACTCGAGCAAATCAGTGAACAACGGGAAAACAGTGCTACAGTGCTACTTATTAAATACTTATTGTTATTTAGATAAACACAGTAAGAGATTATATTCAAAAGCCTAGTCCTCTGGGCTCCAAAGGCAAGTTCAGTGGACTTTACCATAAATCAAAAAAAAGGTCCACATGCTGGTTCAGCTTATTTTTCCCCTTTGGAGTCCTGATTCTAAGGTCATAATGACTTTCATCCAGACTGTACTTTTTTGTTATCTAGACTGTCCCATTTCGATGCCAGTATACCTTTTCTACTAGCTCTGGGTTCATCCAAGTCCCTTCAGAGGGACCTCCCTTTGTGGGGTGTTAGTTACTGTGGTAACCAAATCTGGAATGAGAGTCAAATAATTATGACGATACACAGAAGCAGATACTTGGAGAGCATGTCAAGCTACAGAGAGTACCCCGCCTGCACCGCAGAGCCTGGAAGCTTCCCGTGGTGTATTCGATATGCCCAAAACAGTAATAACTAGCCTCATAATGGAGATGTTACTGGTGCCTGCTCGAGTAAATCGATCAACAAGGGGAGGACAGTGCTACAGTGCTACACAGGAGTAGATAATTGAGTCAATTACCTCCCCTATATTATGAGCATAGCATAGTGGTCATTTTGTGTTTAAGGGAAGAGCATTACTCTATAGTAAAATTTATAGGGAAAATAGAAAAGCAAGTACAAAGTACTTCCAGTACAAAGTCCAGAATCATCCAAAGATTTCACTTAGTTCCTAACACAAAGGAAAGGTTAAAGAGAAACTCAGGGATTAGGAATGCACTGTCTCTTCTCTGGAGAAGGAAATATGGCAAC